TGAGCGATGGACTCTTGATTTCAGCTCAGGTCGTGAGCTCAGGGTCCTAGTGTCACAGGATTGCAGGGTTCTTGTGTCACACAGTCGAAGAATGAATCTTGCGGACACAAAAGGGTGAAGTGAAGTGACAGTTTATTAAGTGAAGGTGAGAGCAGAAAGCAAAGAAGAAGCTCTCTAGAGTGAGAGGGGTCCCGAATGGGTTGCCACTGAGGGTTTTCAGTGTCAGTCTTTTATTGAGAACTGGCTGGGAAGCTTGTGGCCTTGAGATTCTTGAGCCCTCTTGGTTTGAGCAAGGGCTATTAATAACACCCTTAATGACTTAATTCTTTGAGGTTTGGTTATATTTTATGATTACACTGTAACCACCAAAGAAAAAACTCCCTAACATCAGAGGCCAGGTGATCTGTTTCTTTATCTCTTGTTCACTCTGGCTTAGGGCTTCTGCCTGCCAGGAATATGCCAGGGCCCCCTACCTCTCCCTGCCTATACCTTAACCCTTTCCTTATTCACTAGGATCGAGCCCCACATTGGGCTCTGTGCTCAGCAGAGTCTGCTTGTCCCTCTCCCTCTGCTCTTCCCCCCAGTTGCTTTATCTCTAAAATAAATAAATAAAATACTAAACAAAACAAAACTTTGATCCTGGATCAGGTTGGGGCAATTGGAAGAACATAAAAGATATTTTAGGAATAATTGGGAAATTTTAATTTAAATATTTGAATTAGTGTTAATTTTTTCCAGTCTGATAATGATAGTGTATGATATGAAGATATAAAACATTTCTTATTCTTAGCAGAGGCCTACTGAAATGCTTAGAGGTGAACTTTCATGATGCTTGTACTTACCTTCAAATGGTTCAGGAAAAAACATGGATGTATGGGAGTTAATAAGCTATTGTTTCTCAGTACAATCTTCTGTACTCTGTGCTGAGGCTGGAACTTGATGCTTTGACAATTGACTCCCTGAGAGGCTTTCCCTCTGTAGGGGTCTAGAGAGAAAAGGCAAGACTGGAAGTAGAAACTTGGTTCTTTCTGTCTCTCCCTAATTAGAATCCACATGAAAAGAATGAAGTTGGACCCTCACCTTATACCATATACAAAAGCTAACTCAGAATAGCCCAAGGACTTAAACTTCAGAGCTAAAACTATAAGACTTTTAGAAGAAAACCTAAGGTAAAACTTACGACATTGAAAAAAAAGAAAAAAAAAAGACTTACATCGGCTGGCAATATTTTCTTGACTATAACACCAAAGACACTGGCAACAAAAGAAAAAATAGACAAATTGGACTTTGTGAAAATTAAAACACTTTGTGCATAACAAGATAATATCAACAGAGTAAAAAGGCAACACACAGAGAGGCACCTGACTGTAGAGCATGTGACTCTTGATGTCAGGGTCGTAAGTTCAAGCCCCACATTAGGCAGAGAGATTACTAAAAAAAATAAACAAAAATAAAAAAGATTTTTAGAAAAGGCAACCCACAGAATGGGAGAAAATATTGGCAAATCACATATCTGATAAGGGATTAATATTTAGAATATATAGAAAACTCTTAGACTCAACAGCAAGAGTACAAACAACCTGATTAAAAATGGGCAAAAGGGGCACCTGGGTGGCTCAGTCACTTAAGCGTCTGCCTCCAGCTCAGGTTATGATCCAGGAGTCCTGGGATCAAGCCTCACCTTGGGCACCTTGTTCAGCGGGGAGTCTGCTCCCTCTCCTTCTGACCCCCCCCCCATTACTTGTGCTCTCACTCTCTCTCTCTCTCTCTCAGGTGAATAAATAAAAAAAAACCTTTAAAAAATGGGCAAAGGACTTGAATAGACATTTCTCCAAAGAGGATATATAAATGGCCGACAAGCACATGAAAAGGTGCTCTTGAAATCACCAATCACTAGGGAAATGCAAATCAAAACTACAGTGAGATAGCACCTCACATTCATTAGGATGGCTACTAGGGAAAACAAACAAACAGAAAATAGCACGTGTCGGTGAGGATGTGGAGAAACTGGAGCCTTTGTGCATTGCTGGTGGGAATGTAAAGTGGTATAGCCACTACGGAGAACAGTATAATTCCTCAAAAAATTGGAACTAGAGGGGCACCTAGGTGGCTCAGTTGGTTAATTGTCTGTCTTCAGCTTGGGTCATGATCCCAGGGTTCTGGGATAGAGCCCCACATTGGGCTCCCTGCTCAGTGGGGAGTCTGCTTCTCCCTCTGCCTCTCCCCCAGCTGGTGCGCTCTCTCTCTCTCAAATAAGTAAATAAAATCTTAAAAAAAGAAATTAAAACTAGAATTAACTATATGATCCAGCCACCCCACTTTTGCATTTATACCTCAAAAAATTGAAAACAGGGGCGCCTGGGTGGCTCAGTCGTTAAGCGTCTGCCTTCGGCTCAGGTCATGATCCCGGGGTCCTGGGATTGAGCCCCACGTTGGGCTCCCTGCTCCGCGGGAAGCCTGCTTCTCCCTCTCCCACTCCCCCTGCTTGTGTTCCCTCTCTCGCTGTGTCTCTCTCTGTCAAATAAATAAATAAAATCTTTAAAAAAAAATTGAAAACAGAACTTGAACAGATATTTGCACACCACTGTTCATGGCAGTATTTTTCACAATAGCCAAAAATGGCAACAACCCAAATGTCCGTCCACAGATGAATGGATCAACAAAATTTGGTATATACATGCAATAGAATATTATATGTCCATAAAAGGAGATGAAATTCTGGTACATGCTACAACATGGATGAATCTTGGGAATAGTATGCTAAGTGAAATAAGCCAGGCATAAAAGGATAAATATTATATGATTCCACTTACCTGAAGTACCTAGAATAGACAAATTCATAGAGACAGAACATAGAATAGAGGTTACCAGGGGCTAAGGAGAAGGGAGAAGGAGAAGTGGGGAGTTATCTTTTAATGAGTACAGAATTTCAGTTTGGGATGGTGACAATGTTCTGGAAATGGATGGTGGTGATGATTGTACAACATTATAAATGTACTTAATGTTACTGAACTGTACACTTAAAAATGGCTAAAATGTAAATTTTGTAATGTGTATTTTACCACCATAAAAAAATTAATTAGAAAAATTGTTTTATCTTCCTCAAATTTTTATCATACTATTCCAGAAGAAAATTTGATATTAAAAAAAAGATAGAACATCCATTTGCTTTTCAAAACTTTGAATCAATTACTGAGTTTACTTGGTACCTGAAGAAAAGAATGAATTATGGCAGCTTAGTTCTTAATTGCCCTAAAGAACAATTACACAACATTGAATTTATCATCATTTTAGATTAAGATAAAGAATATCCATTGTTAGGCAAGAAGAATTTTGCTGTTCTTATTCATCACAGTCTTTTTGTTTGAACTAGGATTTTCAGGGTTAACCTAATTCAAAACAAAACAGAAAAAAGAACAGGCTCTATGGTGCACCAGATATGGATGGGGCATACTCCTCATAATGTTTTAGACTGGAATAAATTTAGAACAGGCAAGCACACTTTTTTAAGATTTTATTTATTTATTTTAAAGAGAGAGCACCAGTGGGGGGAGGAGCAGAAGGGGAGGGACAAGCAGACTCTGTGCTGAATGCAGAGCCCGATGCAGGGCTGGATCCCAGGACCCTGAGATCATGACCTGAGCTGAAATCAAGAGTTGGGATGCTTAACCAACTGAGCCACCCAGGTGCCCCAAACACATCTTTTAAATTAAATAAAATCTTTTCTAATTTTCCTTTTTGTGTTATTTGAGACTTTTTCTATATTGTATTTAAATATTAATAAAATATTTGATATTAACTCATACAGAATGTTTTGTGAAATTTCAATATATACATACAGAGTTACATTGAATCTGGTTTAAAAGATACTTCTTATTATGGGTCTTTGTAAACAAAAATTTGAAATACACTTTTCTAAACATTCTTCAGTTTTGATTTTGATTTCTTTGACCCAAGAGTTGCTTAAGAGAATTTTTAGTTTTCACGTTATGCATATTTTACTTTATTGCTTTACAGTCAAAGAGAGAATCTAGGGTATTCTATACTATTTCTCCTTGTTGGGAGAAAGGTTTAGTCTCCATTGCCTGTGTGTGTGTATATTTGTGTACGTATTAGATCAACTTTATTAATTTTATTATTAATATAGAGCATTTGTATACTTATTTTTTTAGCTTTTCAGGTTAAAATAATTTCAGAATTACTTGCAAAAATAGTACCAAGAATTGCTGTGTGATATCCTTTGTTAAATAACAAAAACTCAACCAAGTAAATTTTAAAAATCAAGCTGGCTTTATTAATTGATTCATAAATTGAGCAGCATCCTGGGGCGCCTGGGTGGCTCAATCAGTTAAGCATCTGCCTTCCGCTCAGGTCGTAATCCCAGGGGTCTGGGATCAAGCCCCGTATCGGGCTCCTTGATCAGCGGGGAGCCTGCTTCTCCCTCTCCCTCTACCCCTTCCCTCTGCTCATGTTCTCTCTCTCAAATAAATAAATAAATCTTTAAAAAAGAAAGTTGAGCAGCATCCCTTCTAGCAACTAGAGGGGAGCTCCAAAAGGCTACAGAAAAGGGAAGGTTTTTAAAGGTAGAGAGGGAGTGGGGCGCCTGGGTGGCTCAGTTGGTTAAGCGACTGCCTTCAGCTTAGGTCATGATCCTGGAGTCCCGGGATCGAGTCCCACATTGGGCTCCCTGCTCAGCAGGGAGTCTGCTTTTCCCTCTGACCCTCTTCCCTCTTGTGCTATCTCTCATTCTCTCTCTCTCAAATAAATAAATAAAATCTTTAAAAAAAAAAAGGTAGAGAGGGAGTGGAAGAAAAGGAAATTATTAGCAAAGAATTCATTATTTTAGGCAAGGTCACCCGCCCCCATTCACATTACATGACCCAGACAACCTCATGTGTCCCAGTGTTTTGCAGCTACTCACTCCCATTTCAAGTTCAGTGGTTAGGAGCTTCCCTTGAAATAACAAATTTGTGCTCTTTTTTGTTTGTTTCTTCATGAAGACCTGAGGATGAGATGTTTTTAAAAAGTCTCTCTAGAGGTTACCTGGTGGGAAAGGACCCCAACGCTCCCCCTTTCTACAGAGAAGAAGGAAACAAAAAATTTCAGAAGAAGGATTATATGGGAGCCACAGTGCTGTACTCTAAGGTAAGGCACCCCCCAGCTCAGCAGGAGGGGCTATGTTAACAATTTAGCAATGCATATTTCTTCACAAGATAGAAGCTTCTTGCTAAATTGTGTAGCCAGTGGTTGCTTTGTTTATCATTTGTGAATTGAATTTGATAAAGAAAACTGGCAGAATTCTGCTGTTGGTTATATGCCGAAACAACAGGTAGTTTGTATTATATGTCCTGGATTCCACCCAGAAACTTCTCAAATTCCCTCAGATGCCTTGTAGCACTATAGGCTTATTGGACCCCTGGCTCTGCCTTGCCCGTGTCTGTCAGCTGTCACTGAATTACATGCCATTTTTATCTGATGAATGATGAGGCTGTTGGTTTGATAGTCCCAATTTAGAGAGCACCTCGATTTTTGGTTAGCCACAGTGTTAGTTTACAACCAGTATGACTTAGATTAAGTCTGAAAGGAAAATAAGCTCAGTTGCCACAGCCTATTTGAACTCCATTTTGAAGGTTGTCAACAGATACAGAAATACCTAGGAGATATTGTGGGTTTGGTTCCAGACGACCACAGTAAAGCATGTCAAGTAAATTTTTTGGTTTCCCAGTGTGTATAAGAGTTGTTTACACCATAGCATTGTCTGTTAAGTGTGCAAATAACATGATGTCTAAAAACACTGTATACCTTAATTTAAAAATACTTTATTGCTAAAAACAATACCACCATCTGAGCTTTCAGCAAGTCATCATCACTAATCCCAGCTCACTATAACAAATATAATGATGAACAGTTTGAAATATTGCAGGAATTAACGAAATGTGACACAGAGACGCAGTATGAGCAAATGCTATTACATGGTGCTGATAGACTTGCTTGATGCAGGATTGCCACAAACCTTTAATTTGTAAAAGAAAGAAAAGAAAATACCGTGTCCGCAAAGCGCATTAAAATGAGGTGTGCTCGTATTTAAAATTAAGCATCCCTCAACTAGATTTTGAGTGACTAGAGAAAGAATGACTTATACCAATCTGCTGCCCTTATGGTCCTGCTTCCATGGTAGAAACTGAAATAAGACCCCTGAGAGACTTCCTTCCATAACATTTAAGAGATAAATATGGGCCTAAAGCAAGAATGAACCAATCCCCTGCAACAGGTCTGTGAAGATTATTAAAAGAATGAATGTGATTTTGAAGGTGTACCCCTACTCTGAATCTTCAACAAGGCTAAACTTGATGTTTGGAATTCGTTTTCCAACAACTATCAGACTTGGAACAACAGCCTCTCTAACTGATAAAGGCCCTGCTTTGTAATGTTATAAAATATTTAGTGGAGTACTATAAGCATTAGTGAATGCTGCAGAATTAAGATTCATTAGATGCAATGATACACTAACAAATGGCTTAATAGTTCTTTTTCAGAGCTAATCTCTTCAACTTTATGCATGTACATCAGAAATGTGATCCCATGGGAAGTTGTTAAAGGAAAACAAGTAAAAAGTGAAATCAGACAAAAAATTAAGGTTTGCTCTAAATGTGGAGGGAGAAGAGCCTTCCTATTTCACGAAGCTAGTATTTTGGTGATTATGGTACTTTGCAATTTTCTACAAAGCTGCTATTTTCTTTCTTTTTTAAAATAATACTTGTTTTTATCTGATTATAAAAGTACTATATTTTGTGATTTACTTGGAAAATAGAAGCATAAGGAGTAAAAAAATCCCATAATCAATGATAGGCACTGTTAACATTTTTGCTTATATCCATCCACTTTTTCCTCTGAAAATATGTTTTTCTTTTACAAAATTGGGATAATGCTGCACTTACTGTTTTGTAATCTGCTTTTCTCCCTCAACAATTTATTGTGACCATTTTCTCGTGTTATTAAATTTTCCACTAGCACATGATTTTTTACAGCTAGCTTAGTGTTCCATTACAGAGAACTATACTTGATTTAACATCTAATGTTGGCAGACTGCTTGGTATTGTAGAGCTACAAAGGAGCGTCTTTCTATGTAAATATTTTTACACATCTGATTGTTTTCTTAGGATAAATTCCTAGAAGAGCAATTGCTGGGTCAGTTGGATGTATTTTGTTAAGGCCTTTGGTACTTGATGCTGAATTGTTCTCTAGGAAAGAACTAGTTAACAACCCTTCTAGTAAAGTGTGGGAATGTTTGGGGTGCCTGGGTGGCTCAGATGATTAAACGTCTGCCTTCGGCTCAGGTCATGATCCCAGGGTCCTGGGATTGCCCCACATCGGGCTCCCTGCTTGGCGGGGAGCCTGCTTCTCCCTCTCCCTCTGCTGTTCCCCCTGCTTGTGCTCTCTCGCTCTCTGTCAAATAAATAAATAAAATCTTTTAAAAAAAAAAGTATGGGAATATTCGTTTCTCTATATCCTTAACAATACTAGTTATTAGGATTTTATTATTATTTTATCTGTTTATTTATTTTTAAAGATTTTATTTATTTGAGAGAGAGCAGGAGAGAGCACAGTTGGGGGGAGAGGCAGAGGGCAAGGGAGAATCAGACTTCCGGCTGAGCAGGGAGACCGATGTGGGGCTCGATCCTAGGACCCTGGGATCATGACCTGAGCCGAAGGCAGACACTTAACCATGTGAGCCACCCAGGTGCTCCTCTATTGATGTTTGAATAGGAAATGTGTTTACATAGTTCGAATTCAAAAGGTACAAGAGTATATATACAATATAGCCTATTTCTTCTGTCCCCTAGCCACCTCTTTACCCAATACCAGAAGCTAGCACTGTTAAATGTTTCTTTCCAGGGCGCCTGGGTGGCTCAGTCAGTTAAGCTTCTGACTCTTGATTTCAGCTCAGGTCATGATCTCAGGGTCCTGATTTCAGGGTCTTAGGATCAAGCCCCACCTCAAGCTCCTCACTCAGCGCTCAGCAAGAAGTCCACTGCAGTCTCTCCCTCCGCACCTCCTTCTGTACCTCCCCCTGCCCATATGCTCTCTCTTCTCTCTAAAGTAAATAAATAAATATTTTTTTAATGTATCTTTCCAGAGATACTTTGGCATATATAAATGAATACAAATACTCTCATTCCTGCACACACAACACTTTTTAGGTAAATAACATTCTATATACACTGTTCGGCCCCATGCTTTTTTCACTTACTAGTATCTTGAAGATCATTCTACATCAGTACATTAAGAGCTTCCTTATTCTTTTCTTATAGCTACATGATATTCTGTAATATGGATGTATGGTTTATTTAACCACTGTCTTATAAATCTATATGTAGTTGATCTAAGTTGTTTCCTATCTTTTGCTATTCCAAACAACCCTGTGTTGAGAAACTTTGCATGTTATTTTGCACATATCTTTAGGGTAAAGGCTTCTATCTGTAGGATAAATTCTAGAAGAAGAATTGCTGGTGTAATGGAGATATAAATGATATGGGTGTTTATGAAATACACATACATATTGCTAACTTGCCCTTCATAATCATGAAACCAACTTATACTCCCACTAGCAACATATAAGAATGCCCATTTTCCCACTCCTTTGACAACTCAGTGTGCTATCAATTTTATTTATCTTTGCCAGTCTGATAAATAAAAAATAGTATCTTGGAGTTTTTTTTCAATTTATCAGATGAAAACTTTTTATCATGGTAAAATATACACTACATAAAATATTCCATTTTAACCATGTTTAAGTATCTAGTGCAGTGGCATTAAGTACATTCACAGTGTTGTGCAACTGTCATCACTATACATTTCCAGAACATTCTCATCAACCCAAACTAACTCTGTGCCCATTAAACAAACACTAACTCTCCATACCTCCCTCCCCCCTCACCTCAGTCGACCTCTGTTCTACTTTCTGTCTCTGTGATACTGCCAATTCCAGGTACCTCATGCAAGTGAAATCATACAATATTTGTCCTTTTGTTTCTGGTTTATTTCCCTTGGCATAATGTTTTCAAGATCCAGTAGAGTTTTAATTTGCATTTTGCTGATTACGAATGAAGTTGAGCTTTTTTCATATGTTTTTGAGCCATTTAGATTTCCCATTAGAACTGTCTGTTCCTATCATTTGCATATTTTCCTATTGAATTATTGGTCATCATCTTATTGATCTGTAGGAGCTAATCATAAAGTAAAGAAATGAGCCCTTTGCTTGTGATATAGAGTTGCAGATATTTTTTCCAGTTCAATGTTTGCCTTTTGATATTGCTTTTATTGGTTTTTGCTATAAAGAAATGTTTTATATAGTCAAATTTATTAACCTCTCATGACTTTTGGGTTTTGTATCATAGTTAGAAAGGGATTCCTCACTCCAACATTACTTTAGATTATTCCTATAGTTTCTTCTAGTGCTCTGAGAGTTTCATTTTTTACATTAAGATTTTGATCCATTTGGAATTTATCCTAATGAAAGGTTTATCATAACTAGAGAACCAACTTTATTTGTCTTCAGTGGCTACCTACTTGTCAGTACTTTTATTGAATAATCCCTATCTTTTCTCCAGTGATTTGAGATTCTGCCTTTATGATAATTATTAATCCTTGCCAATTTCATGGTAGAAAAAAGGAAACTTTGTGTGCTTTCGTTTTCGTATATTTTGTGATCCACAAATGAATTAACTATTTGTTTTCTAAGAAATAAGTATCGTTAGTGTTTCTTCTGTGAGTTTCTATTTGTGCCACTCACCCTTGGTTATGTTGGGATTGTGCTTGCAATATTTTCCTCTGTTTTCATTTACCTTCAGTATTGTTTGTGGCTGAAGCTGTGTCTGATGCTGCTGTCTTAAAAGTGCTTTAAATATTTATTTCCTCACTTGATCTTCACAGCTTTGCTCTAAGGTAGTTAAAAATGAAGCTGAAGCACAAAGAGATCCACTAACTTTACCAATTTCATACCACCTTTCATAGTATAGCCCTTATTATCTGAAAAAAAAAAAGTTTATTTTTTTTAAAGATTATATTTATTTGTCAGAGAGAACATGCATGCGCACAAGCAGGGGAGTGGTAGGCAGAGGGAGAAGCAGGCTCCCTGCTGAGCAGGATGTGGGGCTCGATCCCAGGACCCTGGGATCATGACCTGAGCTTAAGGCCAACGCTTAACCAACTGAACCACCCAGGCGTCCCCCCACCCCCAAAAAACTTTAAAAATGCTAGTTTTCGGTGTGCCTGGCTGGCTCAGTAGGCAGAGCATGTGACTCTTGATCTTGGGGTCATGAGTTCCAGCCCCATGTTGGGTGTAGAAATTATTTTTAAAAATGCCAGTTTTTGTTTATGCCTTTAACTGGTTCATTGTTTTGCAGGGAATATCGCATGCAAGACCTCACAGTGCAGACATTTCACTGTGTTATGCCAATCGCTCTGCAGCCCTTTTCTACCTGGATGAGTATGAAGTGAGTATCGGGGTGCCTGGTATGATTGGAGAGGATCTGTAGGGGGTTCACTGGAAGACTAGACCTTCAGCTCTGCTCCTACCTTAGAGGACTAAAACTGGGCCCTGCTGCAACTGGTTGAGTTGGAAGAAAATTGGTATCCTCCCAAATATGTTCTTTCTCCTGATGCATTTTTTTCTTTCTCCTGATTCATTTTACCTATCACAGGTGATCACGTGGGGTAGTATTGGTTGATAGGAGTCATGGCACATGGCACGGGGCCATGGATGATATCCAGTGGGTCAGCAGTTCTCAGTGTCAAGATCAGCTGTGAGATATGTTGCTAATAATACTTCAGGTTCCAAGTGTTTGCAAACTATTTACTTGTTTGTTTGTTTCTTATAAGTGGAGCATGTTCAAGATTATCCCTGCAGTAATATGGCTCACCCTCAACACGCATTTTGAATGGGCAAGTAAAAGTTTCACTGAAATACCTGTGTATGCCTGTGAGGGAGTGGGCTTGATCTGAGTGGCTTTCTTCTCATCTCCCGATTGAGGACTAAAGCCAAGCTCTCAAATGTCATTTTGGTACATCCATTTTGGAATTCCACAGAAATTTTTAAAATATGCCCTAGAGTTAAGAACTAGTTGAATAATCACAAGTTCACACTTATTGCCCTTTGAACTGAAAGACAAGCACGGGGGGCGCCTGGGTGGCTCAGTCAGTTGAGTGTCCGACTCTTGATTTCGGCTCAGGTCATGATCTCAGGATCCTGAGATCAAGCCCCACATCAGGCTCTGCGCTGGGGCGTGGAGCCTGCTTAAGATTCTCTCTGTCTCTCTCTCCCCCTTTGCCCCTCCCCCCCACTCTCGCCCTCTCTCTCTCTCTCTTTCTCTCTAAAAGTAAAATAAAATAAAAGAGGCGAGTAAGAATTTACTCTAGGCCCTAAGCAAGAAGTCCTAGACAATTGAGGACAACAGTTGGAAGAACTTGTAAAATATTTAACCCTTTATAACCTCCCTATATTGGTTATTTCTATTTCCCTTCTTATAGCAGCGATTATCATACATTGAACACATGCACTCTTTTCAGCACTTTAGGTATATTACCTTATTTCATCCTTAAAACAACCCTGTGAGGTATCCGTGTTTTTCAGATGAGAACACTAAGACACTGAGAAATTAAGCTGCTTGCACAAGGTCATCCAGCTAGTAAGAAGCAATCAGTAGTGGAGTGCAGATCTGTCTGGCTTCTAAGCTTGCCCCTTTAATCACTACAGTTCTTCTATCTGTAAGACTTTTTTTTCCCTCAAAACAAATATTTAATAAGACAATTAAATACAATATCCTTGGCAAGTATTAATCACTCAAAAGATCACACAGTAGAGTATGATTTAAAGAAATAAGCATGTGGTTATAGTTGCTCCATTTTTAATCATCTTTAACTTTCCTGTAGATTTTTCTTAAGATTTTCAGTAGACATTGAAGAGTCAGGACGAGGGGTCATGTGGGGATTTCCTTTCTGTTTTCAGATGTGTCTTAAAGACATCACGAGAGCACAGATGCATGGGTATCCAGAAAGTTTGCAACCCAAGGTGACGTTGCGTAAGGTCGAATGTCTGGTGACCCTAGGAAGACTACAGGAGGCAGGCCAGACCATCAGGGATCTTGAAAGTAACTTTGCTGCCAAACCAAGCCTAGCAGCTGCCCAGTTTCAAATTCTGCAGAGAAACCTCTGTCGTCTGAAAATGAAGGTACAAGAAAGGGAGAATCTCACAGCATCCTTCCCAGCAACTCTAACGAAAGCCTTTGAGGATATGGACCTAAAGGAAGAGAATGAACAGATTCCCGGTGCATCATCATCTGTCAGCCTATGCATGGACCCTTTAAAAGGCCGCTATCTGATTGCCACAAAAGATATTCTCCCGGGAGAGCTCTTGGTGAAGGAGGATGCTTTTGTGAGTGTCCTTAACCTGGGAGAAAGGCCACCACCACATCATGGCTTAGAGAGCAAGTGGGATACCCGAGTTACTAATGGGGACCTCTACTGTCACCGATGTTTGAGGCACACTTTGGCCACTGTTCCCTGTGATGGATGCAGCTACGCCAAGTACTGCAGCCATGAGTGTATGCAGCAGGCCTGGGATCTCTACCATAATAGAGAGTGTCCTCTAGGGGGCCTGCTGCTCACCCTGGGTATCTTTTGCCACATCGCCCTGAGGTCGACTCTTTTAGCTAGATTTGAGGATGCCAGCAAAGTCATAAGAAAGCTCTGTGTTGAGATGACTAACAAGGACATGTGTTCACCTGAAAGTGAGAATCTGGTACAAACACCCAGTTCTGACCTGGGAGGGGAGAGTGAGAAAAATGGCAAAACAGTTAAGACCCCAGTTCCAGGATGTGATCTTAATGGCAAATACGAAAATAACTATAATGCTGTCTTCCACCTCATGCCCCATACTGAAAACCATAGCCCAGAGTACAAATTCCTCTGTGCTCTCAGTGTGTCTGCGCTCTGCAGGCAGCTCGAGGCAGCCGATTCCTCAAAGCCGGCCACAGCACCTCCTGCCTGGTGTTCCGAGTTGAGTACCTGGGGAGTGGCCATGTTGAAGCACATGCTCCAGCTGCAGTGCAATGCTCAGGCAGTAACGACCATTCAGCAACCAGGTGAGAGGGAAGCTTTGTTTGCCTTACGGTATCGTGCTTGAGGTAGCTAATATTTGGGGAGAAAGAACTATGAATGAAAACAGTAGTGGTGGTCTAATGGGAAAGCAGAGCTCGGTATCTTGTGTCACCATGATTATGCTATTGAGAAGCTGTGTGACCTGAATGATGTCTTTGATCACACTCTGCCTCAGTTTTCTCATCTCAACAATGTTTAATCCCACCTCACTTGACTTAGTTGTGATGGGTTTGTTTGTAAATATACTTTAAAATTAAAAACGCTGTTACAGAGGGATTTTTATTGTGAAGGAGAACTGAAATAATAATCAAGACTGCAGAAAGAAGAGGGGTGTGCAGGGGCACCTGGGTGGCTCAGTCGTTAAGCATCTGCCTTCAGCTCAGGTCATGGGTCCCAGGGTCCTGGGATCGAGCCCCGTGTGGGGCTCTCTGCTCAGCAGGGAGTGTGCTTCTCCCTCTCCCTCTGCTGCTCCCCCTGCTTGTGCTCTCTCGCCCTCTCTCGCTCGGTCTCTCAAATGAATGAATAAAATCTTTTTTTTTTTAATCTTAAAAAAAAAAGAGGGGTCTGCAGTTGAGTTAAGGTATCAAAATCTTATTCATGAGACTCAGCTACTCCGTCTCTACTCTTTCCAATTGACAGATTTCCCCCATTCTTCTGTTTTAAATTTCCAAGAGAGCAATCTGGCCAAGCATAGCTTTTCACACAGTACTACCATGAACTGTTGGCCAGCCTGTTTGGGCTGTCCTTTGGTCAGGGGCCAACAATCTAGGGGCCGTCTCTAGACACAGATCAGCCTAGCCCTGCTTGCCTGAACCGGGTCCCATAGATAAGGCTATCTTATTTAAGGTAGATGGAGAGGTGGGATGTGCCCAGCATCATGAGTGACGCTGTACTGACAACAGATACTATTAGAAAAGAAACAGTGTTTCTACTTTTCTATTGTATGATCTCCATTTTAGCAGATAATGTCTTTCAATTCCATTAGGTCATTATACTTTTCTCAATTTTCTAATTAACTCTATTGAAGGGAAAAGTTAGATATTACATAAACCTAAGATTTATAGACAGACTGATATAAATGTGGCTTTAGTAAGCTATACATGCTTAGTTAGCTCTTTTGATCACCTCACATTAGGTAATCTAGACTTTTGTCAATATGTTTTTATCTTTAATTTTAATGCAACTGCCAAGTTATACAATGTGTAGGCGTTTCACTAGAGGTGTTTTGGAGGAAGACTGTCTTCCCCATCCTGAAACACATGGAACACCCAAAAATAGCTCTGGCTTCATCCTGTAATGCTAGGAAATCCCATTGCAAGCAGTCTCCGTTCTCTTCTCTGCTTTCATTTGCTTCTTTGAGCCATTGCTACCTTCTAAAATACATCTGTTGAGTGTTTTTCCAAAATTATGTTTTCTCTTGGGTACATTCACTGGCATTTTAAGAAGTATTATTTTCATTTAGTTTCGTTTTTGTGAATATAAAAAAATAGTATACGGGGCTTCCAGATTATAATGGCAGAAAGTTACCGACTCCTGATTTTATTGTGTCTTGCCTTTGAAGTACTTAATATAACATACAAAAAAAAATACAAATGTCAGGAGCTCCAAAAACTATAGAAACTACTGTCCAAGTAAACAATAGCGGGCTGAATCCCTGAGGCAGAATGGCCAAGCCATGGGGACCAAAGGAGTCTTCCATCCACTTTCCTCCAATGGCCTACCCCTAACTGTCAAAGAATCTTAGCCTAAATGTTTTTGCTCCATGTGCATGACATTTCATTATAGTCAGGTTTTTATTTGCATAGCAAGTTTCGGGTAAAATTTTTCACAAGTTGTTCAGGATAAACTTTTGGATAGTGAATATATGTATAGCCAGGAATACCTGTATTTTCTGTGGCTAATAAGGACTAGAGAAATAGATACATAGCGTAATACTGGCTACCTGGAGTGATGGAAAGAGGATTGGAGACTTTGGCTTTACCTGTCAGGCTCTATATTTTATGCATAATTTATTCTTTATATGGTGTTTTAAAAATATATACATAGAGTGGCGCCTGGGTGATTCAGTCAGTTAAGCATCCGACTCTTGATTTTGGCTCAGGTCATGATCTCAGGGTTGTGAGATTGAGTCCCGAGTTGGACTCCGTGCTCAGCACGAGTCTAATTGAAATTCTCTCTCCCTCTTCCCCCCGCACAGCTAGTGCCACACATGTGCACTCACACACTCTTGCTCTCTCTCTCTCAAAATAAATAAATAAATGGGGGCGCCTGGGTGGCTCAGTCGTTAAGCGTCTGCCTTCAGCTCAGGTCATGATCCCAGCATCCTGGGATCGAGCCCCGCATTGGGCTCCCTGCTCCATGGGAAGCCTGCTTCTCCCTCTCGCACTCCCCCTGCTTGTGTTCCCTCTCTCGCTGTGTCTCTCTCTGTCAAACAAATAAATAAAATCTTAAAAAAATAATAAATAAATAAAATCTTAAAATAAATAACTAAAAATATATACATGGGGGAAAAAAAGACTAAAAGCAAAAATACCAAAATCTTAACGGTAATCAATTCTAAAGTTGGAGGTATGGGTGATTGCTACCTTCTTATTTGAACTTTTGCTACGTTTTTTTTTTTAAGATTTTATTTATTTATTTGACAGAGTGAGACACAGCGAGAGAGGGAACACAAGCAGGGGGAGTGGGAGAGGGAGAAGCAGGCCTCCCGCGGAGCAGGGAGCCCGATGTGGGACTCGATCCCAGGACTCTGAGATCAGGACCTGAGCCGAAGGCAGACGCTTAACGACTGAGCCACCCAGGCGCCCATTTTACTACGTTTTTAAAATTAAAAACACTGATTCACGCAGTAACATTGTTGTAGTAAATTTAAAATGGATTGGGGGCACCTGGGTGGCTCAGTTGGTTGAGTGTCCAACTCGTGGCTTCTGCTCAGGTTGTGATCTCGGGGTTGTGAGATCGAGCCCCTCCCTGGGCTCAGAGCTCAAACAGAGGTCTGCTTGAGATCCTCCCCTCCCTCTCCCTCTGCCCTTCCCGCTGCTCTCTCTCTTGCTGATGACGTGCTCTCTCTCTAAAAGTAAATAAATCTTTAAAATGGATTGTATACCTTTCCCATTATTCTAGGGAAGAAAAATTTTTTAAAAACCAGTTCACTGAGGGGCACCTGGGTGGCTCAGTCGGTTAAGCATCTGCCGTTGGCTCAGGTCGTGATCCCCGGGTCCTGGAACAAGTTCCACTGCAGGCTCCCTGCTCAGCAGGGGGTCTGCCTCTCCCTCTCCCTTGCCTGCTGGTGCGCTCTCTCTCTCTCTCTCTCTCTCTATCAGATAAATAAATAAAATCTTTTTTTTTAATAAATATTCCACTTTTTTATTTATTGAGAGAGAGAGAGAGAGCACGCGCAGTCGCGCGCACAGTGCACTGCGGGGAATGGTGGGGGCAGGCGGAGGGAGAGGGAGGGAGAGAACCCTGGAGGTCTGGCTATTGTCAAGCTAAGGTTGCTTTTAGTCTCTAGGAAAGCATTAACATTAAGGCAGTTGTGAACTCCTTGAGGATTGCCGTACTCTGCCTGTCTCAAGTATTTGTCAATGGGCTGCAAGTTGTAAGGAAATTTAATTTTACCTACTTTTCTTTTGCCTTTGTTCCCCTCATCACAGGGTTTAGCAAACTTTGTCAAGGGCCAGACAGTAAATATTTTAGGCTTTGCAAGCTGTGGTGTCTCTTTGACTCAGCTCTGCCATTGTAGCGCAGAAGCTGCCATTGACGATGCACAAATGAATGAGTATGGCTGGGCTCCAATCACACTTCATGATGGACTCTGAAATTTGATTTCTTAGAATTTTTCACATCGTGAGCATTATTCTTTTCATTTTTTTTCAACCACTTAAAAATGTGAAAACAGTTCTTAGACCACACTCTACAAAAACAGACAGCCGGCAGGATTTTGCCAACAGGTTACCGTATACAGACTCCTGATGCAGACAAAGATTTGGCAAATCTAATTAAGATATCTATTTAGAAAAAAGAAAAAAGCCCACAAAATTAGGATCAATGAAGGGGATATAGTCAGTAATATAAATTAATTTTTAAATTTTAAGCAAATATCTAATATAATTTTAGACTATTAAATTTGAAAGTATTAAATAGAAAACTTTGTAGGAAACATAAATTTCCTGCTGTTCTCCTCTCCTACAGGAGAACACTTAAAAAATCCAGTGATTGTGGAGGAAATTGAAAAAGATTATCAAAATATTTCCAGGGACACCGGGGTGGCTCGCTCAGTTAAGCGTCTGCCTTCGGCTCAGGTCATGATCCCAGGGTCCTGGGATGGACCCCAACATCAGGCTCCCTGCTCAGTGGGGAGTCTGCTTCTCCCTCTCCCTCTGTGGCTCCCCCTGCTTGTGCTCTGTCTCTCTGTCTCTCTCTCTAACAAATAAATAAAATCTTAAAAATATATATATATTTCCATAAAAACAAGCCAGACCCACTCTTTTCCGTGTAAGTTCTTTAAAACTTTTAAGGACCATATTTAGCTACATTTTTAAAAAAGATTTTATGTATTCATTTGAGAGAGACAGAGACAGCACAAGCAGGAGAGGTAGAGGCAGAGGGAGAGGGAGAAGCAGACTCCCCGCTGAGCTGGGAGCCCGATGCCAGGGGCTCGATCCCAGGACCCTGAGAAGACAAGCGGAGCCTAAGGCAGATGCTTAACCATCTGAGCCATCCAGGCATCCCTAGCCACATTTTTTTTTTTTTGATAAAACAAAAAATATCTTTCAAGGAACAGATCATTTTTATACAATATAAAGTGTTCCAGGGAATGGGGTAACCTGGAGTCCTTTCCCACTCACTTTGCAAAGCCAAGGATAAAAACCATAGATTAGTCTCACTTGTGAATATCCCTGTAGGAACCTTGAAAAAATCACTGCCATATCACATCCAGCAGTTTATTGAAGGAATGCTAAGAGATGACCAAGAAGGGCTTCAT